GCCTATTCCTAAATTCACATCTGGACTGAGATTTACCAGTGGGCAACATGAGAGCTCCAGTGATGCTCAGCAACTGTCTGAGTTGAAAGTGGAATGTAAAGCTTGTAGCTGTAGACTTTTGCAGGGAACATCTGTGCTGAGTAAGGCAGAAACGTAACCTGAACAAATAGCTAAGCAGAATTTACCAGGGACCTCATTCTGGGGCTTGCTTATGCTACAGAGGAGCTGTCTCTTGTCCTGAAGATCTTGCAGTCAAAATAGCTTGGGCATGGCATCCCAAGCTAACAGGCATTGAGCGCTCAGAGTGCAGAAGGAATGCCAAAAGCACCTGCACCTCCTACTGCTAGCTGGCTGCTTTTCAAACCTTTTGGTATTGGTGTGTCTGGCCAGTCTGGAGCCATAGCTGAGTAATGGGACTGAGGAGAGAGGAGTGGTGCCACGTTGCTGAGGTGTAGGAAGGAGTCCGTTTGGATTCTTGCTGGTGTTGAATGAGAAACAGGTTTAGTGAGGATCTGCTTGGTTTCCTTCCTGCCCCACTAGTCCAGGTAAGGTATGGCAACTGCAGCTGGGGGTGTGACCTCTCAGGCTGTGCTTCCTACCATCAGGGACAGAAGATGCTTTTCCTGCATTCATCAGCTGTCTGTGCTGTTCTCTTCTCTATCCCTTTTGAGAGCCTTTCCTTTAAGCTTGCATCATGTTTACTGCAACGCTAGCCGGGGGCAGGAATGTCCCTGGCACAGAGTATGATCTTTGTGCTGATGTGGAGCTCTCCCAGAGAGAGCTGCAGTGTCATGGCTGAGTTGCAGTCACAGGACCTGCTGGGTGGAATGAATGTCCACGATGCCCCTCTCTCTCTTCAGCCTGTTCTGCTCCTATTTTTGGTTGTGCCTTAGGCTTTTTTTAAAACTTGTAATGCTTCATGGGTCAGCTGTCCTTTTGCTGGCTGGCAAATGGCAATCAGTGTGGTCTAATGTCAACAGGAGAGCATCATAGTGCCCTTGGTGCGAAAGCCCTGCTGAGGAATATGCAGGTCCAGAGGGGCCCTTCTTTCCCCACTTGTCACCCCTTCTGCTGTGGGGTGTTTAACCTTTGGAATGGTTCTCATCCTTATGCATTGCACAGGCTTGAAGTTGTTTCATCTCTGAGCTCTTAGCTGCGTATAAGGGTCTTCCCAGCAGCCTGGCTAACATCAGTTTTAGGTGGTTGATCTTCAGTTCTTCTTTGCCAGAGGCAGAGTAGCAACATGCTGCTGAGGCTGGAGGTGTTTGTATGCAGTTATAAATAGTATGTGCTGCTTGAATGCTTTTCAGGTTAGAGGAGGGTAGTTTAAGGAGGACGCAAGGCAGTAGAGACTGAGATACTGGGTTATTTTGGATCTGAGCATGACTGGTAGTGGTGAAAACCAGTCCTTTAAAGGAATGACCTTGCTCTGTCAATAAGCATAGCATATAATAATATGAAGCTGGCTTCACATAGCTTAAAAATGAAATGCCGGTTAGCACTGCCTTCAGGTGTTTTCCCCATGGGTAATGGTAACTTGCCTCTTGTAGCTGCTGCATAAATATCACAGGATGAACCAGCAGAGGTGGAGCAGCTGGCTTCCTTTGTCTAGAAAGGGACACATTGGGATGTTTCAGGACATAACTGCCTGATGTTCCTTTGTGTCATCACAACTGAAATTTGGATAAGGACAATGGCAGTATTCAAATTTATATATAACACCACCCCCTGGGGCAGGATAAAAGGTGGGATATGGCTTGACTAATGCAACTGGAATATTCCACATATTAATATGATTTTTAGAGAAACATTGGCTTAGTAAATCTGTATAAGAAAAAGTGTCAAATTAATTGGTTGGTGAGAGAACAAAATGTTTTCCCAGCAAGCAATACCAGCTATTATGTGTTGTCTCTGCCTCTTGGTATGTACTTCAATAAAGGAAGAGAAACTTAATTTAGCTTTTTCACATGTTCCAATGTCCTGAATCACCAGATCCCTCAAAAATCATGGAGGACTTTTCTGTGGGCTGAAACTGGCACTGGACTAGTAGTAATTGACATCTTGTGGATGACCCCTGTAGGACTCTTCTGTTGACCACCTCTCATTCAGCTGCTCTCTCTGGCAGGCTGTGAGTAGAATTTGAGCTGGTATTCCTAGAATAGCATTTCTGGTAGTAATGGGATTAAAAACTCTTACCGCTTCTGTCTCCTCCCAAATGTATTTTCAGGAGGGCTTGTCATCTGTCATGGATCTAGCTACATAAACTTGACTCCTTTGGCTGAACCCTCAGCTAGCCTTATTTCCAGGAAGGCTGGTGGTGCTGCTGCAGATCATCCTGTGCCTGTCTCTTCCTGCAGTTCTGTACTCAGCTTGCTTAGAATGGGTTGGGTTGGCAAGGACTTTCAAGATCATCTAGAGATCCAACCCCCCTGCCATTTACAGGGACACCTGCCATGAGACCAGGTCAGTCGAAGCCCTGTCCAACCTGGCCTTGAACACTGCCAGGGATGGGGCATCCACAGGTTCTCTGGGCAACCTGTGCCAGTGCCTCACTACCCTCATCACCTTGCTTTGGTGCAAGTGAAACAGCAAGTCCAACAGAATCACAGGTGCCCTTAAACTGAAATACCTTAGAAGCTCCTGTGTGTGTGCATGTGTGCAGGCATGTACTAAAAAGAACCTAAACCAATGAACACCCAGAAAGTATTCAAATAATGAAATTGCTAGAATAAGTAATAATTCTTATTTTGTTCTCATGGCTGTGCAGTGTGATAGAGCAGGTAGCTGCAACTCCAGTCTCCCCTCAAATGCTGTGAGACAGTCTGTTTCCTCACATAGTCAGGACTTTGCTATTTTATTTTTCTTAAATGAACAAAACCTTCCAGCTCACATTTTAGCTCAAGCAGTCAGTCATAAGCTCCATGTAATTGTGATTGTTTCCAGTATTGCTATCAAATCTTCCTGTACAGTGAGATGCCAAGTGTGAAAGCATCATTCCATAAGCGTCATCTCCTGGGTGACACACACACCTCCACACTCCCACCACCAGAGCTCTCTGTGCATGCAGGCTGTCTCCCTGCAGCTGTGTGCTCAACACCCAGCCTCCCACTGGGTTTTTCAGCAAAGCCAGCAGCTCCATGCAATGCACTCAGTGCAGTGGAGTTTCTTGGGGTCATGCGGCCAAGGAGCTGGGCTGGGATTCCCTCAGGCTTTCACTCTGTTGCTGCTTCTTCATGTGCATTTCCTCCCCTTGTCAGATGTTAAGGTGTCTTGGGGAGCATTATGAGTGCTAATGGCATAGTGCTGATAAAATGTAATTCCCGCAAGGCTTGCTTCATATTGGAAAGGGTGTTGAACCATGTGGCTACTATCTGGAACAGGTTGGGCTCAATGGCTTACTGCTAATTGAGTAAGTAAGATCAGAATTAGACTGCTAAACATTGCTCTAGGACAGAGCAAAAGACTGGGATTACAGTGCTAAAAATTGCTGCAGGGGGGAACTTGGATTTTCTGCTAAGTTGCTTCCTCACAGTGCCTAAAATCCTCACCCAGAGTCTCTGGTCACGTTCAAGATTGAAGTTCTGTGCATGCTTGAGCTGCTGGTGCTGATGGGTTCCCAAAGCACAGAATTGCATTGCCAGGCTGTGTTGTTGGAAAACATGTTGCTGGCGCACATGCATTGTGAAAGGGTGGGATGTGTCAACATAGTATTGAGGCTGTTAACTGCTCCTATCTCCATTTTATTTACTAACCTGCATCTAACTTTGGTTCTTTCATTCTGCTGCCTCCTTTCTGCAATTGCAAGTCTGTGTGGGAGAGCAAGATGGAGGGATTTCCAGCTGGCTTGAACTGGTAGTCTTTCATCTTTCTTCACGAACTGAACTTCAGTGTGATTGAAGTCTTAATGTGTGAAAGCATGTATTTCTTTTTTTTCCTGGTTTCTTTTATTCCACACCACCACCATCTCCCCCCCCGATGATATTCTCATATGTATTCCTGATGCCCCTGGGAGTGCAGTGATTGGCTGGTTCTTAGAGGAGCTGTTGTCTTGTATCTCACCATGGCTAGATGTCTGTGGCATAACAGTCAGTGTGTGCAAAGGGCAGCATGCTGGCTGCTGGGAGTTTGGCTTGGGTTGATGTTTTTGCTTTGTTTTCTGCCATCCCTCCTTTCCCAGTGGAGAGCTCTGATGCTGTTGCCAGATCGGGCTCCTAGTGACCATGAGATAATGGGCTTAGCAGATGCCTTCCCTTTTGTGCAGATGGGATGTCTCCTCTCCTCCAAATTCAGCTGGGTCACTGTGTGAAAGGATAAAGCAGGCATGGCTTCATGAGTTCTACTTGCTATAAAGGCCTTGTTTAGTGCTGCGGAACTGGATGGGATGGGACCGAAAGACTGCAGGAGGCATTAAGTCACTCATTCCCTAATGGAGCATAGTGTCTGTCTTGTTCACCTGAGTGGTGGCTGATATTTGCAGTTGAACTGGGATCATTTAGCTCTAAAGTACAGACATTCCTGTTTACTGGCACTTTTGCTTACAGGCAGATGACTTTTTCATGTCAGAAAAAAAGATGCTTACTAGAAAAGTGTTAGTGGAAGATGTTTTGAAGTGGATTTAGCCATAAGCTCAAAGCTCTTAAAGCATCTCACTTGTTTTCTTTGCTAGTCTGTGTTTTCACTAGCCCTGCACTGACCAGTAAGACAGGATCTAAGAAAAAGTGTGAGGCTTTAGCCAGATGCTAAGGTCTTCCTTGACTTTATAAAACGTATGTCAGATGAGGGTAGCTGTCTGCGATGGAGTGTGAGGGCCAAGAGAGCAAACTTCAATGACTCCTGTAACACTGCCAGTAATAGCCTCTTGTCTTGAGTTATATATCAGCCGGTGGGGATAAACCTCTGAGTAAAACTGTGAATGAGGCTTTTTTTTGTGCCTTATTCTGTAAAGGAGGAGGCTGTATTTTCTAGGATTTTATGGTGCATTTTTCTTTCTCTTGTTGCAGGTGAGGCTGGTGCCAGCATTATTAGAGTGTCAAAAGAAGCCCGGAAGAGGTTCTTGGGACCTCTCCACCCATCTTTCAACTTGGTGAAGATCATTCGGATCTGCCTGTCCAAGACCGTGCCAGAGAATGGGCACGAGGTTGCAGCAGGACGCTTGGGTATTTCCCTGACACGGGTCTCTGATGGAGAAAATGTAATACTGTCAGACTTCCATTCCAAGGAGGAGCTGATCCAGGTAAATGGAAACTTATTGCAGAGGGCTAGGCAGGAACTGCATGCTAGTTTGTTTTCCCTTGGTCTCCAAATGTCCTTAGTATTGGAGTATAACTGCCAGCACATGCCAGTGTGATGTTCTGAGAAGAGTAATCAATCAATCAATGGGTTAAATAGGTTTTGATCTGCTGCTTACATTCTGGATCTCTTTCTCCCTCAGGCCTGTGTCTGCAGTGCCTTTATCCCTGTCTACTGTGGGCTGATACCTCCAACCTTGCGTGGAGTGGTAAGTAAGACTCTAGGTGATCCTTCATTAAATCGTGTGCTAATGAGTAAGAAGGCAGAAATGTTAGTACTCTATTTTGCCTGTCTGCTGTCAGCAATTAGCCTGAGGAAGCACAAGAAATTCCCAAATGAACAGCTTCAACAGTGGGTGTGCCTTCTTTCCACTGCTGCCTGCTGGCTATAGTGTCCTGAAAACTAGAGGATTTAACATGATAGTAATATATTGCAATCTGGGCAGGTACTGACAGACTTAGCTGCTTGGTACAATGCTGTCCATCACTGAGGCTCCAACCCTCTGCATGTGGAAAGAACTTGGTTCCAGGGTAGAAACCATGAGTGTGGTCCCTCTCCCACGAGCCTGTCACTTTCGGTTGGGTTTTAACTAGTGGTGTTGATACCAGGCCTTTATTCCATGGAGTTCTTCCTGTCCTTTCTCTGAAAATAATGTTCTGCTGCCTGATGGAGCTTCTTCAACGTCCTGTCCAAGGCTGTCCAGTGTCTACCTTCTGTGTTTGCATGTTGGAAATGAAAACATTTGAAAGCTCTGTGGAGCTGGAGCATCTCTGAATATTGCAGTTATGCTTAAGGGCCTCCCTTGAGCTTGGACTCCCCTTGTGCTACATAGGTTAATGCAGACATTAAAAGGAAAGTTTGTTTGAAAACTAGGTAGTCAAAAGGGAGAGGGAGAACTGCTATTAATGTATGTGTGCCCTGGTTTCCTGTAAGTGACCTGACCTAGGTACCTCAGTCTGTCAGACCATAGCATCAAATCTGATCCCACTGCTACCTGTGTCCAAAAAGTGAGGTCAGTTTTGCTCCTGTCTAATATATAGCTTGGCTGTCTTTGTCCTGTGCAAGCATTTTGGGCAGGAAAATCACCTAGAAATGTCCAATCTGCAGGCAGGTTTTTTGTCCCACAGCTGGTAGCTCTTGCCCGACACTTCTCTGGGGCTAGTCGAGGTCAATGTGAATTAGGCAAAATCTCAAAATTCCAAAACATCAGGGTTTCTGGAATGTGCAGCTGCCCTGGCACACCAAGGGGTGACTTCTCATGTTGAGATTCCCCATGGGGAAAGGTGGGGAGGGAATATATGAGATGAGGAAATTAATTCCTACCTCTTCCCCCAAAAAATCATTGTTCTTTGTGTCTCTCAGGGGGGAGGGTGGTGAGAGCAGAGGTTAAATTAGGTTGGGTATGAGCCTGTGAAAAGTTTTTGACATGGGACTGCATGGTTCCTAGCATGCCTGTGATGAATGTGACTGTATTTGCCACAGGACAGACTGACAGGCCTGGCATGAGGACAAGTTCTGAAGGCAATGTGATTGTGTGAAAAGTGTAAAATCTGTATTCTGCCTTCCTTCTAATTTTTTTCCAGTGTTCACTCTCTGAGCTCTGGTAGCCCCATGGAGTGGATAATGAAGATAGGTGGAGAGAAGGAAAAACAGTAAATTCTCAAATACTGGGAAATGGAAGGGTCAGTAACTGACTTGTCAACACACGCTTTAGCCATGAACAAGTTCATGTACCATGTGGATGAGATGAACACCTAACAAGGATCAGAAAGCCAGGTGTCAGTTCATGTGAGTGAGGGGCCCTGTAAAAAAAAAAAAAAAAGAGGACATGATAAGGGAATGGAACTGGGCAGCCCAGAAATTACTCCAGTCTGAGAACCATCCCCCAAAACTGCTGCTGCTCATGCCTGGAACCAGCTGGTGTCTCCAGCCTGTGGCTCCGTGCAGTTAGGCTTTGCAAGGGGTTGGAGAGTGGTTAGGCTTGGGTTGCTGGAGGTTCAGGCAAATGCAAAGAACTGGCAGCTGATCTTGAGTCAGGAATGGTAATTGGCACTGCTTGGGGAATGGTGGACTGGAGAGCAGGGTCTGCGTGTGTATTCCTGGATTTCCATGCAGTGAGAAGGCTTTGCCTGTCGGCTTTTTAGTTAAGCCTTTTTTCTAACGTCATCCGTGCACTCATGCTGCCACCCTGAGGGAAACGTATGTTTCTGCATCCTTACCGCAAAATTAGTGTCGTGTGAGACAAGGCAAAGCATGATGCAGAATGGAGCACCTCCTCTTCTGATCAGCATTTCCGTGCTCTGCTGGATTCAGCCTCAGCCAGCTTAGCTCCTCACCCAGCAGAGAGCTGAACGATGGCACAGCTGCTACTATGGGGCTGTGTAGTTCCTACATGATGGTTTGCATTTGAACCTGTCTGAAGGGACAGGTTCCTGTCTGGCAGGATCAACCTTGACACAAAATCAACAGGGCTCTTCTGTAACCAAGGTTCTTAAGAGCTTGAATTGTTGCTCTGCAAAGGTTTCACACTTCCTGCTCCTTTGGCTTGACCAAGGCCCTCTCCCTTTATCTTCTGCATGTTGTTTACACTGCCAAAGGCCTGTGATAGCAGTTGTCTTGCTCAGCTCCTTGTGCAATTATGGTACACCAATGAATACTCTGAATTGAGTACATGCTACTGGGATTGTCTTTCCTGCAAGGGTAACGCAAATGTGTTTATGGTGTGTAAGTACAGAACGTTCTCTGACAAGAGAGTGCCTGATAAGTGCAAAACACTGGTCCCCTGTGCTCTGTTACCACACCACAGAAAGTAGATTCCAAAGGTGTATACATGTGTTGGAATTGCTGCTTGATAAGCCTGCTAGCAATAAATCAGCTCTTAGGTAACGAACCTGCCAGTGGGAAATTGTGTTTGAGCTTATTCATTTTAAACACAAGTGAAAAATGGCACAATGTCACAGTGTGACAGCTTAGATCAGTGCTAATTTGCACTGTAGGTGGTGGTGGTTGTGTCATTTTATTTAATTGGAGAGCTGTCAAAACCCATAGGAGATTTAAGTCAGCAGTCACACAAGTAAACATGCCTTTCTCGTGGAATGCTTGTGTCCAACATGCGTAACCATAGAAAGAGAGGCACATAGCAAAAGGAGATTATAGACAACACAGCTGTGCTATCACTGGTTTTGACTCCTTCTGTGCTGGTGGGTGTACTCCGATCTCTTCCCGAGTTGTTGGCACAAATATGAATACAGTAAAAAAGCTGCTTGATCAGTTATGAGAATTGAGAGTGCTTCATTTGTCTTGATTTTTTAGAGATACGTTGATGGAGGGATTTCTGACAACTTGCCACGATATGAGCTGAAGAACACCATCACGGTGTCTCCATTCTCAGGAGAAAGTGATATCTGTCCACGAGACGGTTCCACAAACATGCATGAGCTGAGAGTCACCAATACAAGCATCCAGTTCAACCTTCGCAACCTTTACCGCCTCTCAAAGGCCCTGTTTCCTCCGGAGGCGCATGTGAGTTTCCTGGCAATATCAGAACTTGGACAGTAGATAGGCACTGGCTATACTGGGCACTTTAGCAGAGGAAGATTTCAGACACTGTTAGTTTTGTATCTCTTGTTTGTTTTTTAACCTTGACGTTATTAACCCAGTGACTTGGCAAACCTTGACCATTTGCACAAGGTTGTATAAGCGGCTTGGTTTTCTTTTGCTTCTGGGAGATCCGGAATTTAGGTTGGAAAGTATTTTCACGTTGCTCTGGAGTAGTTTGCCAGGAAGTCAGGCTCACTTGTAAACAAGGGTGTTTCAGCCATCAGAACCCATGTGCTCTTGAGTGTTTTATTGTCAGGTTGGACCTAGTAGCCTGCAGCCAGTGACTGTCTCTTAAAAAGTGCCAGTGGAGCAGGTGTCGCTTTGACCAGCTTTGTGTACTGTGAGCAAATGCAGCCTCAGATAGCCTTGGTATTTCAGCATAATAAGTGTGCTTGCATGTGCTGAATTATTTGGACAGGCTTTTTCCTCCCCCTCTCTAGTCTTGCTGACTTTATCTGCAAATGCAGTGGCCCTTCCTGGCATCTGCTGAGAAGTATTCTGGTCTGCTTGTCAGAGTGACTTGCTGAAGGCTGCACACAGTAGCATCAGCTGTAGATGTGGAAATTGAGTTGACGCAAGTCTAAGCTCATTCTTGGGTAGGATTCCAGGTGTCCCTTCCAATCTTGAATTATCATGTGATCCCCATGTTCACTGTATTTATGTTACACCCACCATATCTGCTCAAAGGCTGGGAAGAGCTGACAAAGATGAGACTTGTTTTTGGGATAGCTCAGGAATCAGGAAAATTCCTCTAAAGCCAGCATTGAGCTGGTGTTTTCTCTGCTCAGCCAGGCAGTCTCCAAATGACTTGCTCTTGCCTTCCTCTGCCTTCAGGTGCTGCGGGATATGTGCAAGCAGGGCTATCAGGATGCACTGCACTTCCTGAAGAAGAACGGTAAGGCTCTGTGTTTGCAGGATACACTGATTTGCTTCGTCTGTGACAGGCTTGGTATCTTGGCTTTGAGAATAGTCAGTGGTGTATATGAAAAGTGGAAGGGCAGAATTGAGCTGTGCTTCAGGAACTGGAATATGGGATTTATATTAAGTCTATTTTAGCACTGCAGGATGCAGAAGTGAACACCTTTCTAGTGCAATGCAGGAGGATTCTAACCATTCTTATACCAGAGTGGTGGTTTTGGCACATCTAAGTTTTGAAATTACTTAGCATGTACTCTGCTACACCAGCACAGCTGTTAGGCACCGGTGCCATTTGGACTTTCTGCAGATATCCTCCTGCTCCTTTTTATGTGCAGCTAGGGTATGTCTAATGTAGCACAGCAGTGCAGAGCACAGGCATGCCTTCAGAAGCTCCCCCGCACTTGGCAGTTTGTCACTGTCTTTTTTGTGAAAGCCCCGGACTTCGTAAACTCTTTTGTAGCAGGTTAAGCGTGTGTTTGATGCCACCTAGTGTCAATTTACAGCAGATCGAGCACATCGAGCACATCTCGAGCATATGTTGACTCTGTGTTGCATACCTCACTGGGATAAGAGCCGTCAATACAGCCGTGTTTGCGGATTAAGCTGCAGGAGGGAAACCTTGCCTGCAAGATGGGTGACTGGCAACTTATAGGAACAAAACACTGCCAAACAGCACCCTGCTGTTAAAGGGGAAAAGGCAGAATTTCTAGCAGCGATGTTTCTAACTCATTGTGGTAAGAATTACAATAGATGTAAGCTAAAGAGGCTGGGTATGACGCCTGTCTGAGGCGTGTTAGGGTGAAGAATAACACTAAAGGTCAGGGGAGGCAGGGCAGCTAGTTTAAATCAGCCTATGGTATGACTTCTTTTCCTCAGGTCTCCTTAATCGTCCAAGTCCTGCCCGCCCTCTCCTTGCCATAGAAGCCCCCCCAGGAGAGAAGAAAGAAGAAGAAATGGAAGCTGAGGACCAAATAGAGGACAATACTGAACTTGCTGAAGTTGAAGAGCATATCATGGAACACTTGCCTCCCAGACTGAACCAAGGTATGACCCAAAGGGAGAGATACCAGGCAATCTCCCTGTGCTGCCTGGTCCACTTCAGAGGATTACCGGGGATGTGTTGGGTATTGCTTGTGGATGGGCTTGGCCATACCTAAGGATTTAACTGACACCCACTGATGATGAGATGGAGTCGTGGCCTCTTAGATAAAATTGTGGATTGCCCTTTAGAGGCTATTGGGAGAGGTTGACTCATTTGACGTTGCTCTGAATAGTAAGGAGAGGAGGGGATCTTGTTGCTCACTTCTCTGGGAGTCTGATAAAGCTAAAACCTGCTGTTCTCGGCTGCACTGGGACAATTACTACCCTGAGCAAGACTGCCTTAAGAAGTGGAATGTGCAGAGGGGAGTCCTCAGGCTAGATAACTTCTGGGGTATGGCAAGGAAAGAGATAGTCCCACTGAGGGGATTCAACCATATTCTCTTCTGCCTCCAGCTCTTCTGGAGGCTTGTGCTGAAAGAAGAAGTTTCTTTACTGGCATTGCCAACATGCTGCCTATACGTGTGGCCACAGCAATGATGGTGCCCTACATGCTGCCTCTGGAGTCTGCAGTTTCCTTCACTGTCAGGTAAGCCATTGGCTGGTTCCCTTAGTGGTGTTCTTCCTAGTTCAGTGAAGTTCTGATGTAGTGAAACATAAAAAGCCAGAGACTCTGCATGGCCTCTCTGACTCTGCAGTGACCAAATACTTGGAGAAAGAGTTCCTGCCACTTACCAGCCATATTAAAAAAAAAATTAAAAGTCCTCCCCCCACCCGCCCCCCCAAAAAAAAGAGGCAAAAGAAAGCACCCCAACAAACACCTCTTCCAACCTTCATATGTCGTTTAGCTACAGCCAATACTTCCAGCTTGAAGGAAGATGGCTGTGGGCTGGAACTTGTCTTAGAAAATGGTGAGAAATTTTGGAGCCTGAGGAGAAACTTGTGAGCTAAGAGCACAGGGATGAAAGTGGGAACCAAATGAGGGGATGTTCCCCTCTGCAGTGAGGAGAAGAGAATTCCCAGCCATTTCCAGTTCTACACTTAATGGGCTAAGAAGACAAGTCTGTCAGACTTGTTCTTTGTACAAAGTACTCTATGAAAAGTTTCTGGAAGGAAATAGCTTGTGGTAGAAAAGCTTAGAGAAAGACACTTTCCGAATCTGAAAATCGATGAAAAAATGTGGAAAGTGCAGACACAAAACATAAAGAATAAGTTCCTGGGCTGTTTCCAACCTTCATAGCTTCTCCCTATTAATTCTGTGAATGGTAGTATAAATTGCTCTTTATACATTTGTAATTAAAAATAATGAGTGACCATTGATAAGATGCAAAACTGGTGTCCTTCTCATCCTGCCGTTTGTGTGGCCCAACTAATGGTTGTCTTCTGTCTCCTCCCAGGTTGCTGGAATGGCTCCCAGATATTCCTGAGGATATTAGATGGATGAGGGAGCAGATGACTGAAATCTGCAACTATCTTGTGAAGAAAGCCAAGAAGAAACTTGGCAGCCATCTTTCAGCCAGGTATGGCTGCTTTCCTCCACAGCACTATTCTGGAGCAGCCCTCCATTTCCCCTTTCACCTTTGACTTTTACAGACTCTGCTCCAATGGAGCTGATTAAGAACATCACAAATGGACCAGAAATTGATCTGGTCCATGGTATCTTGGCTTCCTTAACTGTTGGATAGACTGAGCACATGGTCTTCTTCCTTCTTCTCATTACAGGGTAGACCCTGTAGTGAAACTGTTAATACGGTGATAGGGCAGAAGACATAGGTTTAACTAAAATAGTATGCTAGCTTATTCCATCTTCCCTGTAGAAGACATAGGTGCTGTCTTTGTGGCATTTTCTGGCCCAAAGTCCCATAAAAATTCCTTCCTAGAGGTCCCTTTTCTGCCATGAGATCTTGGCCTGGTTTAGGGTGGGGAGGCACTAGGGTGGCCAAAAACCACCAGAAGGTTTCCAAATGAGGCAGAGTACTTACGTGTGTGTTTGTGCCTGAGCTTCTGAACTGAACTCCCTGCAGCAGTCCATGGCTTGAGGCTGAGGCAAGACTGTGTTGTGTGGATGAGGATAGCTGAGTATTAATAGGCAGAGGGTTCCAGCTGTGATTCGGATCCTAGTACAAAAGGGTGATTCTTACCCACAAGCGCTCATGGTCTTGAATAATCAAGAGATGTGAGGGGGTGAAAATAGGTGCACACTGAGACTTCTAACTCTGCATAAGATTATGCAGTTAGTGGTAGAACAAAATAGCTCTATGGTTCTGGAGCTCTGGTCTGGTGACCTGCTCAAGTCTTCCAGTGTACTAATTCTTTGCGTGTGTTTATCTTTCAGGCTTTACTATCACCTCGAGCTTGGACAGCCTCAGAGCCTGCCAATTTCTTCTGCATCAGCTTGTGGTGAAGCATTGCCTGTGTGGATGAGAAGCAACCGTTCTCTCTCTGATGCCATGATGAAGTGGGAGGAGTACCAGCGCCAGCTCATGCTGGGCTTACTCTGCATCAACATGGACATGCAGGCTTCTCTCTTCCCTCGGGAAGGGCTTCAGCTAAAGCTTCCACCCTTAGACTGTGCGAAAGAGTGCCTGCCACTCTTCTGAGCCTGCTGGCCTGAGGGGATGAGGGTGGGTGGAAGGGGAGCGCATGTAGGGTGGGACCAGTCTCATCCCTCAGCAGCAGGCTGCCCTGTGCTCATCAATATGCTGCAAAGGGGATTTCCCCAGGATGGAGACTGGTAGAATTGACTCTAGTCATTTTTTGCCCACTGGGCCAGGCAAGGGATCTCTGTGATCAGAGACACACATAGGCTGATACCTTGCTCTAGGTTTGTGTTGAGGCCTGGCTATTGCTCATGGCCAGGCTGATGCTGACCCAGCTGGGCTTTCCCAGATAGTGCACTTTGAATTGCCTTTGGCTTTTTACTGCCAAATAATCAGGATGTAGATGATGCTCTCAAATTCTTACAATTTTTAGCCTCCTTTGTTTTTAGAGAATGAGTCTTGCTTTTGCTTAAATCATTTGACATCCTTTAGCTCTTTGTGCTACTGAAAGATGAAGTAGCCTCTTGCTAAACCATTTTTTCTCGTGGCTTCCAAATCTTCTTTTGACTCCTTTGCTGAAATCACATCTTTTCCTCTGTCCCTGAACTGCATCCCCACTGGAAGCCAGAGCTGGCCCTGCTGCAGACTGCACTGAGACTGCAGAAGGGTAGAAAAATCAGGTATTTACTCAGATTTATGTTGTTGTGTTCTCTCCTTTTTGTTTTTTGTCCTCATGGAACTGAGCTCTGAGTGTTACTAAGTTATTGAGCTTATTTGAAGAAGTAATTTAGACAGAATTTTTTCCAGAGAAACATGTTGAATTAGAGGCCCCATTCCTGTCACTGTGAATGGAATTGGTGTGGGGTTGCTCTTGGAAAGCTCGGCCTGACCATTTCAGGATCAGCTTAACAGCTGAAGCAATACTAAGTGCTTGTAGGAAGGTGTGATTGTGCAGGGCATGTTATTTTTGAGTGGCTGTGGTGGAGTGTCACAGCAAGTGCTGAGGAACGGCTGCCTCTGACAGGGCTTGGGCTTTGTTCCTTAAGGAACTGTACAACTGTTCCTTAAGGGGGGAGGAAATTCCAAGCGGATGATACAGAAGGGATCTCCTGCCAAACTGGATGCTTGGCTTTATCAATTTTTTATTAATTTTTTTTTTCCTCAAAGAGTCCGAATGTTGAGGCTTTAGAGTGAGAAGGATTTAGGCTTGTAGCTATACCAGCCCCGCAGCTTGCCTGTCTCCTGTTTTGGATCACGGGTACAGCTCTGCAGGTAGCAATAAGAGGAGCATGTGAAGTGGAAGTGAAGTTAGGACTGTTGGTGCACGTGCAATCTGCTTGGAATGGATTACTTGTGTTGTCCCTTGAAAGACCGCAGCTAGTAGGTCTGTAGCAGGGCAGGACTGTGCCTTCTTAACGTATTCCTTTTTCAGTGGTGGTCTGGTTGTTACTTGCTGTGCAGAAACATGAACTCTGTTCTTCACAGGGTGAGACATGGCTTCCCGTGGGGATTTTATGTACTTAAGTTTAAATCCTTGCACTATGACACAAAATCAGCTCCTGGTATCTTTTTTCCCTCTTTTATTCTGCAGCATGTCTAGCTACATGAGGCATCTTCTACCTCTCCTAGCACAAACAGTATGCAATTGGCCAAAGCAAACGTATGCTGTCCTTGCTGGGGAGCAGGACAGGGTATCTGAAGCCGACTACATAGCTTATACAATAGAGTAGTGATTTATAATAGACTCTTTTGCACCTTTTGATTTAGAAAGGGAAAATAATCCCAGAAGTTCTACTAACAGCTGGAGAAGGCAGTGAATCTGCTCAATCACATCTGCATGCGCAGTGTGGGTGATATGGGGGGTGCTGTTTCCTACCAGCACAATTGTACTGGTAGGATGTTTGTGGTGGAGACTGATAAACATCAGGACTTTTCTGCAGTGGCCATTGCAAGCTGTGAGTCAATAGACCGGGCAGCTGTGGTGCTAACCAACTGTCCAGGAGATGCTGGTGCATGGATGAACTTGTGACCTGGAGTATCACCCCACTGCCCTTCCTGGATGTAACCTACCTATGTAACACAAGGGCCTGCTCCCTTATGAAGTTGGCCTGCACTTGGCAGTCAGATTTAGCCTTAAGCTTTGCATAGTTAAGGCACTTAGGGAACAGAAAAGTCATTACAGGAAAAGAGAAAAATTGGAGGATTCTGAATCCAGAGTAGGAATATTGGGTTATAAAACAAGTCAATCTTACGATTGTCTAAAGCTCACAGAAAAAGCTTACTGCTAGATCTATATAATTCCAATTGAAGTGAACTAGCAACAAGCTACTGTCAGTTACGGAGAGCAGGATGAATTTGATGAAAACTGGAAGTAAGAAAAGGTGTTTATTTTGTGGTTTGGTGTGGGATTTCTTTTCTCCCACTTCTCTCTGGGCTACCTTTTCTGAGGGAAAGGCACATGCACAGCTGCTTCGTTTGCCAAATGCATTTCTCTTGTCTGTTATGCACACAGAGTAAGTGGCAAGAACCTATAAATGCTTAGTGGCAAGAAATGAAGGCGTTTCATCCAGAAGCAAAACATCTGTGAGGGCCAGAGCTAGAAAAGGAAAATCTTGTGCTTAGAAGCTGCTGCCCTTTTGACTCTGCCTTGTTTGTGTTAATATATGGGTGGAGAAAATGATGCAACTATTTTTTTTATCCCTTCTTCCTGGACTGGTAAAACCACTGAGTGATTATGTAAACCACTAAACTATGAAACAAAATTCTCCTGGCAACAGAGCATGCTAAGGAATTGCAGCTTGGCACCCTTATCTGCTGGATCTTTTCTGTTCTCCTTTGGCATCAGAACTGAGTGGGCTGGTGCCACTGTCTTCCTGTGCTCTGACTCTGAAGGCTTGCTGGTTTTGGTCCATGCATTTCAAGAGATGAACCCCTGTGCCTGGTAAAAGGCCTGAGTTTCTTTGTTTCGCCTCATTTGTTATTTAGTTAATTGTATTAACCTCTCAAAGAGAAGCTTTTGCACACTTTAAACTGTAACCACAAACTAAAGCCTGGCTTTAAATATAAAGGTCTAACTCTTCAGGGAGGAAACTTCTGTTTTCCCTATGCTGATTTGCAGGGTGTGAACAGATACTGGGAAAGCACCACATTGTATTAACCCTTTCTTTGTGTTTATTCCCCAAGTCATGCAATGGCTATTGTATGATACTTGTTGGCTTTATAGATGCAAGCTCTGATGAAGAAACTGCAGATCTGTTGAAAATACCTCAAACCTACCCTCCTCTTTCTTAAGAAAGATTTCATGCATTTGCTTGAAATCCTTCCTGCTCATTTATCACAGATTGCAAAGGATCTTGCCTGCTGATACAGAAAAAGGATGAGGCTGCTTTGGAGAACAGCTTTTTGCTATGCAGTTCTGCCTCCTCTAGATCAGGTCTCACTTCTTTGAAATCCCTGGAAACCTCATGATAGGCTCTGGATTGGATATGGAGGGCTTTATTGTGATAACTGGAATTCTTTGAGCCCTTGCTCCACATGTACATCATGACATGTATTATCTTTGGGCAGGAGCTGCTGATTAACCTCCAGTTGTAAAGTTCATAGGAACGAGGTAATCATCTGTAGCAGTTGGCCCCTTCTTCAGCAAAACATGTGGCTGGGCAGCCCAGCGGGTAGTTGCCAGGGCCTGTCTGCTCTCCAGAATATGGTGGTTGAGAGGTAAGGTTCCAGGACCAACGGTTCAGCTTGCAGTCAATGTCCAGTTGTCCTTACAGCATTCACTTGAACTCTGCAAGAGTCCCAACCCTTGCAAGGGTCTTGCATTCAGGAATCCACTTTCTTTTTCTCCTCTCCTTCCTGTGGTACTGCTTGCTGCTTTTAACAAGGCTAATGGTGAACTTAATCATCTAACTAACCACTAACCTGGAACAACACTGTAGAGTTGTTTTATGTTGCTTACAATAGTCCATATCTATGGCATGCTCTGTAAGCCATAGGTGTGTGTGTGGTGTATTGGGTTTGGTTTGCTGCCTGCCCTACTGCTAATATTGTTGCAAGCTGATTTTCAAGGGGTAGGAGAACATGCTTCACTTCTGACCACTATCTATAGGACCTAGGAGGCATTTTCTCGTGGCTTTCTGGAAGCATGTGTACCTGCAACACCCAGATCAGATGATAAAAGATAATCTGCTGTCTGCCAGCACTGGGGTGTCCCTAGAACTTGCTGTGTATTCACCAGTGGTTTTGTCCACTTTTAAAAATGAATCTAGTAATTAACTCATTTCTCAGAGAGAAGAGCTCTCACTTGCCAGAGTGGTGGTGGGAGAAATACCTGAAGCTCAGTGTGTGTGTTTCCCTTAGGGGTCCGTTTCTGCTAAACACACACTAAATGTGGTGGGTAGCAGGGCTGAGTGTTGCCAAAGTCAGAGAGGGCCTTGCCAACGGTTTTCTCAAGCTTTGTTGCCATCTTCTCCTTAACTCAATGAGGGAACAGACCACCTCACTTGGCTGCCACATCAGCTGGGTTGCTTGTGCCAAACACCCTGTGCCTTCACAGTGGACTCTGGCCTGCCTGCCCTCTGTGTCCCTGTGGCAGCTGCCCCTCGAACTGCAGCACTGCTTGCTCCTCTCTCTCCTTCCCCTTGCATGTACCAATGGGACATTGCTCTGGTTCCAGTCTGCAGGCAGCTCCACCAGGACAGTCTCTTAACTGTGCATCCACCTCACTATGTAGATCCACATCAGCCCTTCTGCACAGGGAGGGGAAACCTCTAGTTCCAAACAGAAGACTCATAAAAGTAACTTTGAAATAAATACCTCTTCCTTCTGTGGTTTTTTCTTGCTCTTGAAACCAGCATCTAAAGCAGTTCTTTGAGCTCGGTGTGTCCTGAGGCTCCACTGCTGTCACTGAGCGTGAGAAGACCCTTAAGCACACAATACACATAGAGATCCTGTGGAGATTACTGATGTCAGAGCAGCAGCTAGACCAGCAATAGCATACACAAGTTTTGTATTTACTCAGCACCATCATTAAGTAGTGTTCACAGTCACTTTAAAAGTTCAGTATTAAATTGATGCTTTTTTTTTTTTCTTTTTTTTTCCTTTTTCTAATGTTTTGCTGAAGAAAATGTACCTATTTATTTTGGCAGAAATATAACTTCTAATAAAAACTTCCTCAATTTATTTACCTGGCTGTGGTAGGTTGCTTGTCTTGCTATTTAAAGGCTTATTAAATATTTTTGAATGCACTTTATGCTGTGGGTTTGTGTTGCTGGGCCCTGCCCCATTCTAAGTCCTTTTAGGGTAAACATGCATCCACCTGTGATGGATGGGGCATCATCTAGAGGTGAAAAATGGTGCATTTTGGCTCAGTTCTTAAGCCAAAATGTCTCTGTTTTATTGGAGCTTCTGGGTAGACCCTGGTTTCCAAGAGGAACTGAGCACCATCTTGTGTCAATTGCAGGTGCTTGGCACCTGTTGGTAAGAAGTTAATCACAAAGTTGAAACTTCCCCAATTCCGGGGCATCTTCTGGGGGAAACTGAACCCTGTCACTTCTGCCCCTGTTTGTCACTAGGTGAAATGCATCTTACTGGCTGTCGTCTGCCTATTTCAGCTGGATGCCAAGGTTGCCCTGATTAATTTCCAGCTGGGCACATGGAAACCACCAGCCCTTGGCTCTGGGATGGCTGGGGAC